TTATTCCATTTGACATTCCCAAACCAAAATGGTTTGGTTTTTTTGACAAAGAGAGCCACTGTTAAAGGAAAGGCTTCCTGTACATTTGCCATACTACTGAAAAATGGCTAATGTTCTCTAGAGCATGGGCCAGAATATATAAGTTGATTTTAAATTTAAAAAATACATGGTAGGGATAAACAGTAAAGACATGAATAATGTGCAGTGAGGAAGGAGAAAAGATGTAGTGCTGTTTTATACCCATGGTGGATGGAGCCCAAGCTTGTGCCAAGTGAACCCAATGGACATTTTGTGGACATTTATGGACATTTTAACAGGGTGGTCCACAGACTAAGGGAATGATATCAGCATATTATATTATATCAAGGGATGAGAAGGGTGGTGGTTCTTAATGAGGATGTATTGAATTGTGTGGAACCTGAGCATGACGTAAATAGTATGGAATAAGGGGTGGATAATGTCCTGGTTTCAGCTGAGAGGGTTGATTTTCTTCATAGTAGCCAGTGTGGGGATACGTTTTGGATTTGTGCTGGAGACAGCATTGATAATATAGAGATGTTTTTGTTCTATGGACCTGTTGTTGAGCAGTGTTTACACGGGGCCAAGACCTTTTCTGCTTCTTGCACTGCCTGCCAGTGGGATGGCTGGGGGTGCACAAGGAGTTGGGAGGAGACACAGACAGGACAGGTGACTCAAACTGACCAAAGCGATATTCCATACCATATGACATCATGCTTAGTTTATAAGGAGCTTGGGGGAAGGGGGGGGGGCAGCAGCATTCAGAGTGATGGTGTTTAACTTCCCAAGTGACCGTTACACGTGATGGAGCCCTGCTTTCGTGGAGATGGCTGAACACCTGCCTGCCCATGGGAAGTGGGGAATGAATTCCTTGCTTTGCTTTGCTTGTGCACGCGGCTTTTGCTTTACCTAGTAAACTGTTTTTATCTTAACCCATGAGTTTTCTCACTTTAACTCTTCCAGTTCTTTCCCCCATCCCGATGGGGGGGAGTGAACGAGCGGCTGCGTGGTGCTCAGCTGCCAGCTGGGGTAAAACCACAACAGTAAAGCATATGTACATACATGTACACACACATAAGTATGTGTATCTATATATGCACATATACTTGGTAAGACAAGCTCTGGGACAGAGCCCTTTTTCTCCCCATTTAGAAGGGAAAATACATGGATACTTGGCTTCCTTTTTAGTTAGCTTTACCACTGACCTTTATTGCAGTCTGCAGGAAAGACTGAAAAATTGGCACGGACAGGTTGGATATCGCCTTTTCTTTTGTGGTCTGGCAGAACTCCTAAACTGTTAGGAAATGAGACTTGACAGTTTGTGTTATTATTTGGAGAACAATCTAACTATATTATGACTGACTTCAATCTAATGCCCCACATCAATTGACTCTTGTCATCCTCCAAGGATGCATCACTTTTTTTTTGTGGGTGGGGGTTTTTCAGTTTTTCTTTTAATGCTATCACTCAAGACTGCAGGAAATGTCATTATTCGAGGAATATAGAAAGTAGAGCCGGCAAGGCTATAAAACAATTCTGTTCTCATGTGGAATGTAATTTATATAATGAAGTAATAGCAAAGACTATGGTAAATGAAAAGAAGTTTTTTCGTAGACCTGACTTTGCTGCACTGAATCTGAAATAACCTGCTGTGTAACTGTTTTATTCAGTTCAGCCACAGTGTTTTCTAGCTGTGAGCAGTGCCACTGTAGTTGTTGAAAGTACAAAAACACAAGTATTGTCTCCCATGTTCATGTGTCAAACTTTGAGTTACCACATTTAATCCTCTGATACTAATTATTTGCTAAATGCTACATTTACTTTGTTAGCAAAGCGCAAGCATTTTTTCTATAGTAATTTTGAAAAGCTTTTGGTAGTATTGCCTCCCAAATAGTGCTTATTATCACCCCAAATGAACAGTTTTAGTAAGCAACAGCTGCATAGCCAGATTTGAGATTCAAGCTTAAAAGAGAAATTTGGATTTTTTATCATATATAAATAGAATTTATCAGTACTGCAACTAAGTGTTATTTAGTTTGAATTAAAATTTATTACAATAGTTTCTTCATCAAAATAGCCTCCTGAAAGCTTTTGTAAAAAGTCAAATTAATGGAAGAATGAAAGTGAGATTTTAGAATTTTAATTTACTTTAAAAGTAGTTTAATTATTTCACATCTAGCAATTCTTATTTTCTAGTTTTCAAAAGTGGAGATTTGCTGTTAGATTTTAGATTTTCCTAGAAGAAAACTTCAGTAATGGAGGGTGATACTCTGTAGAATTCTGTCAAGAGCAACTGTCTTAAATTGTCAGGTTTTAATTATTTTTTTTTAAAAGGAACTAAGGGTCTCTTCCTCACTAAAAGTCTCTTTTATAGTGTTATGACTTTGATATTGGTGGCATTAAGGCCTTAGATGGCTCTTAGCAAGGAAGCTAGTGGTACATCAGAGCTGCTCACCTCTACCTTACAACAGTGAAAGCACAGTTTTAACAACTACTCAGGGGAGAAGTGAAGACACAGCAAGTCAGAAGAGCAGCATGTGCATGTTCTTCTCTGAACCCCTGCTGCTGTGGGTTTTTTTATGTGTGGGAGTGTGATGGCACTCTTAGTTCCCCATTTTTCTTCTATTTTTGTGAGAATTGAGATGAGAGAACAATAAATAAAGGGAACAGGTGCTCTCCATGGATGATAATTGTTAGCCTGTTCCCAGCTGTCTCTTCCCACTCATCACTTCACTCCAGCTGCCTTAGATGGTGTAGTAGAGTGTAAATATTTACATTATCTCAGGTTTTTTTCCTGGTCCACCCTCAACCGGCACTGTATTTTCACTACACGCTCCTTGGTTGCCCCCTATAGAATAGCTTCTGTGGCGTAGGATCACTTGGCAGTCCATTTGGCTTGCTTTTTTGGACTTGATTTGGCTTGTAGACTGCTAGCTGAAGAGTTCTGGCACAGGAGAATATTGCCTTCAGGAGATCTTGACTTTATTCTTCTCGCCAGGTGAGATATTTTAGCATCACCAGGAAGTAGAAATAGCTATAAGATTTTTTCAAGTTATCTGTTTCTTCAGCAAAGTATTTGCCCTCTCCTTTGTCTCTTTTGGAAGGTCAAACTTGGACCCATCTGAACTGTAGTCTTACATTAGTAGGAAATTTCCAGTCTTTACTGTTTTCTTAAGAATTTATAGGATCAATTAGAAGATAATTACCAAAAAAGATAAAATAAATATATATTTTGGGTGAAAGTAGAATTACAGTTAGGAATTTCAGATCCTGTGATGCCATCTTACTGATACACCTTTGTTTTACGAAAGGAAGAGTGTTGCAAAAAGAGTAAACAGCAATGTAGCAGCCATGGAGAAGCATTAGCTTAGTATTTGCCTTTCTAAGATTTGTGTGCCTAAGCTATGGTGTAGTTTAGAATTTTCTTCTTGCCATTTTTAGTGCATGTATCCAACTCTCACACAGAAGCAGTGACAAGCTCTTCTATGTTCCACCATAACTGAGACTCAAAACACTTGCTGTATTGATAGAGGCTATCAGGACAAATAAAAGGGAATTAAAGCTTAATGTGAAAGCTGTATAAACTTGAAGAAATGGACTGGAATATTAACAGATTTAAAATAAAATAAATGGATTAAAATGATAATATGAATTCAGAACCTTTGCTGTCCTTTGCTTCAGATTTGATAGAAGAAATGGTGTTAAACATATTTCAGAAAACACTTCCTTTGGGGAATCTTTCCTTTTTTTTTTTCCTTCTTTCTCCTCTTTGAGAAATCTGTTAGCTTCTGTCCTTAAAACAGAATTTAGTGCAGTTTACCCTAATTTGGATAAACATATACCATTTTTTACCCTCCCAGTCTAAAATGCTGGGAGAAGATTTCTAGTGATAAGGGGTTCAAAAGGCCAATAATGTGCTTGATTGAAATAAAATTTGTTTTGAGTTTAAAAGCTGTTTTCAATTAAATTCATGTTCAATTTGTATATGCCATTATATAAAACTACTAAATTCTTCTTAACTAGCATTAGTTAATGTGATGTACTGATTTTCTCTGTACTTGTGGGAGTGTCGTACTAGAGAGTATTCCACAGTCATTTAGTCACTGGATTTCACTGGAATCTGATGACTGGGGAATAAGTTTTTAGTCTGGAAATATGCACTGGTTGGCTTGTCACACCTCTCTTATTGTGGACTGCTGGCCACTGTACACATAGAGCAAATACAAGATTGGATAAAGAAAATTCTAAGGCCACACAAAGACAGGAAACTGAAGTAAAGTAACCATGTTCTTCAGCATTTCTGAGGTTTATTCACGGTCACAGTATATACAATATACTAGATCTGTATTCTAGAAAGCTTGGTGTGTTACTTTAGGATTTTGTCTATTGGGACCAGCTACCTATGAAGCTGCTGAGAGAGAAGTGCATCACAATTAGTCAATCATGTTACTCTTAAAAGGGAAGGATAAGGATATTTCTGATCTCTGTAAGAGATGTTGAAAAATGTTGAAAAAGCGTGGTAGTGAGTGTTTAAAAAAAAAAAGTTTTTACACATTTAGGTTTTTCTTAAATTGTGAATGAATCTGTCATGGAAGAAGACTCTTTAAAATTACACTTCAAGCTAAAGAACCTATGGACAAATTCTAGAAAATGCATTACTTCACTGTTGCCAAATTTTAGTGAAGGTGGATCTCTGTGTCAGCAGAGTAGGTTATTTTTTCCTCCCATTAAGCAGCTGTATTACTTTTTTTATGTACCAAGACCACACGCAGTTCTTGGCACATTTCCATGGAGCTTTGGCAGTTTGTCTGCACAAGAACATTTAATATCTATTTTACCTGCTTCATTGTAGAGTATGTTACCTAAGGACTAGTAAAATAGATTGTGGTAGGTTTGTTAATCTGTCATAAGTTTTTGAGTGACTCCTGCTTGTTTCTGTCAGGCACAGATACCCTCTCATTTTTCTTTCTCTGTTTCTGCAGGCTGCCTTATATCGGTTGAGTGGGGATTGGAATCCTTTACATGTTGATCCAAGTTTTGCTGCTCTTGGAGGTGAGCTGAGGGATACCATTGTATTAATATTTGGTTGAAAGATGATATAAATGTATTTTTAATCTTTTTTTTTTCACTTAGTCTGTACATCTTTAATAAGCTGGAAAACGTAGTGCTTTTTTATAGCTGTTCTTAGGGTCACCATTAGAAGTCTTCAAAGTTATGTGTGACACTTCACTTTAAAGCATTGCTTCTTGTAGCTAAGAATGCAGAATGATGCTTGAACTCTACCTACAGTGGAAACCTGCCTCCTACCCTGCTTTCCTTTTAGAGCTTATTTGCTGACACTATCCCATCTTTACAATATCTGTTTCATAAGCAGAAATAGACTGTCCAAAGCTTCAGAAGTAATTCCATAAATTCTTTGATAGATAATTCTTTCCATCTAGATAATTTTGAGATTATGGTCATCTTAGTGGAATTTTTTGTGCTTCTGTGTAGTCTTCTCAATCCCAGTAAATCTCAGGAGGGTGGGAGAGGGAGTTTGCTAGCACATCTTTCCTATAAAATTGCTTAACTGTGTTTCTTGCTAGCACAGTAGCTTGTTCATTTATGTAATGCTACACGCCAAAGCAACAGACTGTAGGCTACATTAATTGATTCTTGCAGAGATTTGATTACTAAAGAAGGATCTGTTTTCTTAAATTTCTGTTGTTAAGGTATTTTTCGGAGTTCTTTTCAAGCCTTGCTAGTAGTATAGTGTGATTACTCCAGGCAGACAACAATTTCATTTACTTAAGAAATTTTCCTGAATATGTGTGCTATCATCATAAACTTTACGTGATAATACTGGTCTGTAATAATTAGTCTGCAGTTTTCTGGTGACTTTTTAATACAGAAGTATCATTGTATGTTGTTCTTACCAAGATAAATAGAGCAGAGCTATGCTTTCTTGTTCTGATCATGCTTATCATACTCCACAAATTGTCTCCTTTCATAAATACATATAATTGTTTGCTTAACTCTGTTTTATATAATTTTATGTAAATTTGTGTTTATAAATCATGATAACCAAATACCAGAGTCTACATAAAGATATTTCCTTGGTTTATTAAACCATTCTGTTTGTTTGTTCAGCTGATGATTTTGCATAAATACGTAGGTGGAATCTGGAGGAGAAAAATACATGTTTATAATTGAAACCCCAATGTTTAAAATGATGATAATAATCCTATGAAAGCCTAACAAAAGAAGAGGAATAGAAATTTACCAGTTCGCATAAAGACCACTGGCATTTAGACACAGTGAAAATTGAAATTAACTCTGTAGATCAGGTAGTCTCTTTGTCTGAACAGAAAACTGTGGCACTGGATTTTGGAACAGTGGCAGCCTCCTACTTAGATGCCTATATTAAATGTAGGTTGAAACAAAGAAGAACATGACTGTAGAGATATTCCACAAATATTTTGTTTCTAGTTATACAAAAGCTTTTTTTCTTTGGGCATATTCACACACCTTCTTGTCTTTAATTTGTGTAAATGTTCCCTTTGACTGGCTCTCACTAGCGTGCTCTGGAAGCAAGCATTCAGCGTAATGTTTTCAGGTCATTCCAGGATTATTGTTAAGCTTTCCTGTGGGTAATGTTTCAGAGGAGATATACTACATGAAAACACCTGCTTATATCCTTGTGCCTTTATTCCTGTAGCTTGTGAGTATTTCTGAGATATTAGAAAGTGAAAGCAACATTTACTATGTTTTTGTTTTAGTCTAGATAAAAGTAACTTGATTGCCTTATGGATTTTTCTTTGAATATACATTAGTTTTATAAAGAAAATACCAGGAGAATAGGATCTTATGTATTTGTCTGTTTCTGAAAATAGTGGTGGGTTTTGGTTCTTGCATGTGAATTGAGCTAAGCTTGTAAAGAGCTAAATGTCACTGTAACATTCTGTATGAGAGATACTGAATACTGATACTGTTACAATAATGCCAGTAATCTGTTTTAAAATTGACTGCATGGTATCTTTGTGCTTTTAGAAATACTCTGTGCACAGTGTACAAAAAGAGAGTGCATAGTCAAATATTTTATGGGAAGGAAGTGGCAGAATGATGAGAGTGGAATACTTATAGCGAGAAAACAGACTCATGTTCCTTTTAGCCTGTCTTTCTGTCACGTCTCCTCTCCTAATTTAACGAGTCGAAATTTCTGTTTCTCATCCTTACTCATCCTCGTCTTGTCTTCCCTTTGGGCCATGTCTTGGAATTCCCATCTTTCCCAACATTGAGTCCTAATGGCTTTTTTGTCTCTGTCTTGAAGGTGGTTTCTTCTACATTTTCTGATTCTCTGCAGGCTAGACTTTCTCCTGTCTCCTCTTTTTTGTTTGTTTGCTTTTTCTTTTTTTCTCCCAGCTATTGTCTCTTGGGACAACTTTTCATGCTGTGTAGATGCTATGAGGAGTTGTTTAGAGCTCCAGAAAAAACAGACTCTGGCAGCAAAGAGTGACCGATGAATTCCAGACAAAACAACTGTTTTCAGAGCCAAAGCTGGACAGACCTGTCTGGAATCCATGGGCTTCTGCAAGTGTGATCAATTACTGTTCACATGCCCTGTCAGGTCAGAGCAACCTGTTAAGGCATCACAACATATTCAGTACAAGCAGCATCTTTAAAACTTAACCATTGCGCTGTAGGAAATCTCAGGCCACTTTTGAAAGGTTTATTTTGTCAGACTTTGACAGGACTGGAAAAAGATTTGGGACTAATACAAAGATTATCCTCTGCCAAGGTTCAGCTCCTGCTGCAAAGCATAGAAGCGTGAGGAAACCTGACCAAAAATGTCAGTATAAACAAAACACTGTAATTTTTTTTTCCTCTTTTTTGTTAGATGTATTCAAAATGCCTGAAATCTTTCAGAGTGTTTTCCACTTCTAAATAAAGAAAAAATAATCCTGAAGTGTGCTTTATATTTTGAGACTTTTGGCAACATGAATTAAAAATGGGAAGCATCAAATAATCCTAGTATCACCACTTTTTAATCATTACAATACGTCTTACCCTTGATATGCATACTACCATGTAACTGTGTATCTGGTGTGCCTATGCATATATACTAAACATCCAATCTCCTTATTTTTCATTTTGTCACTTCTGTGGACAGGGACTAATTCTACTTATGACTCTTACATAGCATAGACAGTGTTGGAGTGCAAGTTCTCAGTGAGCAGTTCGCTTTGCCTCAAAGTAGAGGAAACAATAAATGGTAACAGACGCTTTTTCAGTGAGATAAATTAGGTTAAAAAAAAAAAAGGATTAAGAACATTATTGGAGGAAAATACTATGAATGAAATACAGATATTTGTAGAAGCAATGTGGAAACTCCTAATGTTACAAATGCTAAAATGTTACTTTTTGAAATAGGATTTGAGAAGCCTATACTTCATGGACTATGCTCCTTTGGGTTTGCCGCTCGAAACGTTTTGAAGCAGTTTGCAGATAATAATGTGAACAGATTCAAGGCGATCAAGGTCTGTGTGTTCATTCTTTGCAGTTAATTTTCTTGATTTTTCTAGGTTTATTGCAAAAAAAAAATCTTTAGTGTGGGAAAAGGCTTTTGCACTGTCTTAACTGCCACAATTGCTTTTACTTATTGCTGCATGCATTTTAATGCCTCTATCCATATGTTTACTTAAATATTTAGGCTTTCTACATTGCTAGTTGACTGATTTTTCTGTTTGCTTATTCTCATTTCAGTAGAGCTTATGCTTTTAGGCTTTGCATGTATATATGATGGATCTGTTCACATACCCAGGGGGTTTTTTTGTTTTGTTTTGTTTTTGTTTATTTTAGGTTCGCTTTGCAAAACCAGTCTTTCCGGGGCAAACTTTACAGACAGAAATGTGGAAGGAAGGAAATAGAATCCATTTTCAGACCAAGGTCAGAACACACTGTTGTGCGCTTTAGAGAAAGATGTGTTGGTTAAAAGACTGGGGTTATGAGGGGAGGCAAAAAAAGTGGCTCATGAAGCACACCACTGAAGAAGGTTTTGTAAGGAAATTAAGTGAACAGAATGAAGTATTCTTCCTTATTTTATGGTGTCACTAAGATTCCAATAAAAATACCATTATACTCATAGAACTTAATACACTCCGTATATTAAATAATATGAGAACTCATTTAATTGTATTGTATTTTCTGTGTTTGTCCACTGTGGAAGAGCAAAAAGCATTCATTCTCAGGTCAGCATAGTTTGTACTTGTTTTCTGCAGTTAATCATAACCTTCTGTATGCATCTTTTTGAAGATTTGTTTATCTTAAAAACTCCTGACATTTAGTTTATGCAGGTAAATTTCTACAAATTTAGCTTAAATTGAGTTAAACTTAAGCTGCATCTACACAGAACAACTTGATTATAAAATGGAAGTTTCATAGCAGTTGAACATAGTAACTACGATAACACTGAGTTTATGCTTTTGTAAATTCAGTTTTTGCATTATTCTGTTTTCTTGGCATTGCTGTTAGCATTTTGTATGGGTATCCTGTAATCCTCTCCTACACTTGGTAGGATACTTACTGGAAGCTAAGTTACTGGAAGATCTACTCTATGTGGAGGCGAAAAGTAAATTCTCATCGCTTCTGTTGTAGCATTCTGTGACCCTGTCACTTTCTTAAACTCTGATTTGCTACTGCTATTTGTGAATATGCGTTGCCTTCTGCAGATGCAAGTTATATTGCTTTGGCTGGCCAAAGTTTTGGAACCCCATCTCTGTAAAAATATAGCCAGCTGTTGATTGGTGAGTACAGCAGCAGGGATAGTTGCAGCTGCAGAGAGGATTGGGCAGGCAAAATCAAATCAGGAGAGTCATCATAAGGACATAGGATTGCTGTTTCCACAGGAATACAGCTTCGTGGAATAAATGTTGACTGAAGGAAGTAAGTTTTGTTTGCAGACCTGATGAGTGTTAGCAACTGTAAAATTTTAGAATGATAACAGCGTCGAGGCTACTATGTACAAACTTTCCATCTCTGGTTACTAGTAGTAAACAAGACAGTTTGGTGCCTCAGATGAACTTTGGAGATTATTATACTGAAGATGATGTAGTTATATTTAAAAGGTACTACCACCCAGTCCTGAGAGAAGTTCTAAGTCTTCAGGTATTTACTTTTCAGGGTTTGTGTGTACAGCGTAAATTTAAGAGAATTCATGATATACTTCCAAGCCCTTTAGAATTTGTAACAAAGTGGGATGTTTTGATGTGTTTAAAGGCTGGACTTGTTATTATGCTTGGTTTAGTCATTGCTAATCTGTAGAGTTTTGGGGAATTTTGCTACAAGTGTGGTGTAACTTATTTTGGAGAGAAATTACAATGTTTAACAGGATTGTAGAAAACCACCTTGTTTCAACAGTTACGAATTCTTGCAGAATTCTTATTGCATGTTGGATTAGTGTGAAGTAAAGCAATCTGTATTTGTAATAAACTCTGGTTAAATGAAACTAAATGTATACATATAACTTCAATATGCTGGTTACATCCATTTTCAGCATTGTCTGAAGTGCAGTGGCAGCAGGTGACAAGCTATTAGATGTGATTGGAGTAATTTTTATTATACAGACTTTCTGTATTAATTTCACCTGTGCAATAAGCTAGGCACTGATACTGGATATTCTTCTACCTTGACTATTTATCATAAAACTCTCTATATGCATTGTCGGTGAATCATTTTGTGATCTTCTGTGTACTGCCATAAGTCAGAATGGTTTGTCAGACTGTTTAAAGAGACAGTGCCAAAGTGAAACCCATTTTCTTTGACTTAACTATTTCAAAAAGTTAAAACAGAAGGGAATTCATATATTTTTTCATCTTTCTTCTTGTTATCTTTCTGGGTTTACAATGCTTGAAAATTTGTTTCTAGTGCAAGTGGCAGTGTAAGGCACCTGGTGAAATAGTCTAGGTGGAATTCTTGATAACTGCATATCTATCTCAAGGAAGAACATTTTAGAACAATGTCTTTCTCAGAATTATTTATGAAGTAATATTAACAGCAACTTATAACACTGGAGGTAAATTTTCAGATAAATAATTTCTTTCTGCCATTTTGTGAACAGAAAAACAGCAATATATTTTGGTATAATTTGGTGTAATGTTTGAAGAGCTGTTTGTAAAACATAGTATACTAACTTGCCTTAAGACTACAATGCATTTAGTTTTATTTTCACTCTGGAACTTTTACCTTTTCCCTTTTCTTCATCTCTGATTTTAAAATGTAAGGAAGACTCCTTGCTTGCCCTTCTGTTGTAACTTCTTGTGAATACATTAACTCTTTAATGTAATTTTTTTCCCCAATACAGGTCAAAGAGACTGGAGAAATTGCTATTGCAGGGGGCTATGTGGATATAGTACCAGCCTTGGATAAACCTTCTGCTCAGGAGCCTCTGAAGGTAGGGGGAAGCAATAGAAGTCTTAACTTCTATGAAGGGCCACAAGTTTTGAGCACTTTCATAACTTAAGATTGAAATCAGTCCCTATAATTTGGGGCTGTAACTGTAAAATGAGCCTTTGGGTTTTATTTTGTAGATGTTCAGATTCCATGTAAGTTGTAAAAGTGTGTGACTTTTCTTTCTCAATTTTTTCAGAGAGTCATAGGGAGAGTGGCAAGAAGGCATTAGAAGAACAGAGCAAATGAGAATGAGATAGATAGTGTACTCATAGAAGAGAACAGTTTTGTCATTGAATCGTTTTGAAAGAATGCTCTGATGGCTGTTTGTGCATGTGGTTAGGCCTAACACATGATATGCACTTTGTACTATATATATTTTTAAAAATCCTCTGCATGCATGCATTAAGTCTTGGCTAATGGCCTTGCCACAAAAGACAGAATTGTACACACAATGCTGAGGATGTCCTGGGTTCTTAATGTGGTCTAAAAGACATGGGTGCACAGTGCATTGCCTTAGTAAATGATACCTTTTTTTTCCCCATTGATTCCTGCCTGCAAAGGATGAAACTTTAATGCATTGAAGTTTATGAAGTACTGAGATAATGACATTCATGTAAAGCCCATGATATATTTCTGGATCCTGTTCCTTTTTCCTGGTGGTGTTTAGTCCCCTGACATTCTGAACTGTTGCCAAATCTGCCTTTGAAGTTCAAACATACAAGCATTAGAACTTTTCAGTGAAATAGGGTTGTGGTTTTTTGGTGTGTGTTTTTTTTTTTTTTAACATGGGCAGAACAGGTTTTTTTCTTTAAGCTTTGAGAAATTAAGGTGCTTTGGCAGAAGTTTGCTGACAGAGGCAGACATCCACCAGGGGAAACTAGCCTGAGTGAGTAAAGATTGGCAAATTTAGATGTCATAGGGAGCTCTGTTATATAATGGAAGATATTAGGCTGAACCAAAGAGGTAGCAGGATTGCAGCAGAGGAGTATTGCATTCTGGTGTACTGGTAGGTACAACAGAACAACTAAAGCTATGAGCACTTCTTAGCTCCAATTCCAGTCAGATGAAAAATGTCACTGGAGCAACTTCTTAAAGTGTAGCATTTTATCCAATATATATTTGTTAAAGACAGACAATGAAATGAAAGGCTTGGAAAATAACACGTTTGCAAAAGTTGAAAATGCAAATGTAGCTAATCCTGCTCTTAAATGATAAACACATTCTGTCTGCACTGGAGTTCTGACTGTGTTCACAGTACAGTATGTTTTGAACGTCTTCCATGTCAAGTTAAAGTTTTTACTGGTAAAAACATTTTTGTGTTCTAAAAACTAACATACCATTCACCATGGAAAAAGTGGCAATGGTTATCCTCCAAAGGAAGTAAAGGGCCATTTAGAAGCCCTTAGAGCCCTAATTATAAAACATATCTTAAATTGTAGTGATAAATGGCAAAAACTGCACAAGTGAGAGTTGAAATAATTCTCAAGGAAGAAGCATTTTCTGCTTGAATGTACTCTTTAATGCTGACAGTTGCTAGAGGTGATTATTTGTGGTGAAAGAAATCTCAATTGCGTTTAATAATACTGCAATAGAGACTTTCCTGGACACAGTGCTTGAACTAATGGACATATTTAGTAGTTTTTAAATGGAGTTTCGATTTTAAATTCTTCATATTCACTCTTTTTTTAAGACTGCAGGGCTGCAGAGTGACCTTGTGTTTGAAGAAATTGGTCGTCGTGTAAAAGAGATTGGAAATGAATTGGTAAAGAAAGTAAATGCTGTATTCCAATGGGACATCACTAAAGATGGAAAAACAGCAGTACAGTGGAGTAAGTTGTAGCTTTTATGTAATGCTCTGATGCATTTGGGTTTTTTTAAATAAAGTGAGATTAATTATACTCTTTCTAATTAAACTGCTATCTTGAAAATAAGCAGAAGGTAGTAGATTAATATTCACTGGGCTCTAAAAATCTGAAAGTATCCTGAGTGCACAAGTGTCAGACAAAGTTTCATAATGGCAGTTACTAAGCTTTCTAGGAACGTTCTTCTGTAACTTGCCTATTTAGATGTAGGCATAGGCAAACCATCCTCTTGAACTTCAGTGCATTTCTGTTTACACATATTTATCTCCAGAATGGATTGCTACTGCACTTAGAAAAGCAGACTAAATTAACCTACTAGGAGCTCTATGTTACAGTAATTAGTCTGCTGGTGATGTACATGCTAACTTACCTAAAACAAATTTATTTGCACTGTGTTGTTCATGTCACTTCAGTGAAAATATAGCCCAATTTATTTCTATTCAAATTTTCTGAGATCAAGGTTTAATGAAGGTATAATGTTGATTACCCATCCTTTAAGGATGAATCTAGGTTGACAAAGAGAGGCTGGAGCTTCTAGTAGCAATGAGTCAGAGGGAAGGTATTTCCTGGTAAAGTGGATTATACAAGAATGTGAAATGCTCTGATGGGGGCAAAACTACTTCCTCAGAAAACTTCTCTTTTTAAATTCTCTTGTGCTCTGTTTCTAAGGACATGTATTTTTGCAAAAAGCAGTCTAATTTTAGTAATTGGATATATTTCATTGTCTTTGGAATTATTCAAGGTTTTTTTGCTGACATGTCCTAAATGGTCTATTAGTAGAATGTAAGGTTTTTCCAAAGGTATAAACCATAGTCTGGTTGTAACTTCCAGATCTTTCTCCACTCTTTTGTGGAGAAATGCGTCTTGGGGTCAAGTCTGTTACTTAGACTGCTTCATTTTGACTGGTCTCAATAGCTGGATCCAGACAGAACAGTTTTGGGGAAATACAGATGAGGTGGGCTGCCATTTGACAGGCTGAGGGGAGAGACTGAGATGTTGGTAGGTCAGATCAGGTCTGCATTGTGCTTTGTTGCACAGACTGTGACTTTTTTAAAACTATTGTTAAGTGTCTGCAATGTCTGTTCTCAATAAATGGTTGTGTTTAAGAAACTCTTTCTTTTACAGAGTAGTTTAGAAACCTATAATTTCACTTTATCTTTTCCTAATGTTAACCAGCAGAGACTGCTGTTAAGTTTCAGGAAGAATACCATACATAGATTGATCAAGATAGTTCTGTTCTACTTGTATTGCCTTTTAAGCAATTTTTTGAGGGATAAGGGGTGATTTCCACTTGGATAGCAGTTAATCAATATATTGAATATACCTGTGTAGGTTATGCAGACTGAGTACCAATACATCAAAATGAGAGGGGGGTAGTAAATACTGCATAATACAACTCAGAAGATCTGTCTTAAAACTCATTACTGCTCTTAATCATTCCTACCATCTGCAGTTTTCCACTTTTACACTCAGTAAGTTAAATGATAGGCATGCTTAGAACCTGGACAGAAGGCTTATGAAATCTTTCCTGTGTTCTTGCTTACATTTTTAGAAGATATATTAGAAGCACATAGATTAAACTCCAAAACACTTAAGTGGATACTTGTGTTTGTTAGAGGATCACTCTGTACATCAGTCATGACAATTGTTTCCGGTGTAACTATATGTAATATAAGTGATTGTCATGTTTATAATAACAACCATAACACTGTCTTCAAGATGATTTATCGTTGTCTTTAATTTTGGAACTGCTTTGTCACCTAAACTCAGTCTTACATATGGTCAAAGAATGGAAGGACAAATCAATGGAAGAAAAATCTCATGAGGAGTGTTCAGGACATGAATAAAATTTCTTACTCAGTAAGACCTTAAGCTGTAAACTGCTGAACGCAGAACAGGCACATTTATAGATTTAGGCCCGAGCACTGGCTTTACCTGTCTGACGAGACCAAGTTTTATTAGAGGAGAAATAGGTGGATGTTTTTGGCGTTGTATCCAAAGAGAGAAAGAGAATACTCCTGCTTTGAGTAAATCAAGAGTCAGCCTTTCCTCTTTTTCAAACATAGCTTGTCCTCTTCTGTTTCCTACTGAAGCAGTGGGAGGAAAGTAGTGCCTTCTTCCAATGCTTATTTCCCTAGCTAAAAGGGATTAAATAGACATAACTTTCTTTGTCCTGTTCCCTCTGCTTCTGTGGCAATGAATAATATTTGTACTTTTATATGAATTTGGAACTACTTAAAGCTCCCTGTGGGATTGAGGGTGGAGGAAGTAATCTAATATTTTAAACATTTCCTCTTGCTGACTACTTAACTTGGAACTTAAATGAAACATTTCCAAAATCTTGAGAAAGTTACTGCAAATTTTTATATAGTCTGGTCAGTTCTTTCAACCTTAGGTGTCAAACAGTGGCTAGTGTTTATGAATTACTGTAGTCTCAGTGATGTAGTAGATATGTAAGGCTGAATGTAAATGTAAATATCTAGGTGACAAGAAGGGTGTCTCTAGAAAATGCTGCTTACTTTTCTCATCAGGAATATTGGTTTGCAAGTACTCCCTTTGTATGTCACTTTTTCAAAGAATTTTCTGTGTCATCTGATGGTTTTCAGAATATTTTTGTGTATCTTTGAAATTTCAAGCAGTTAAAGGATGAAGAAGGCATCAGTTGGTTAATATTAAAATAAAATCATTAACATTAAATTTTGATTAATAATTTAAATAATGTAATACTAAAATATTTAAATAGTTATGTAAACTCACTTGGCAGACTGTTAGCAGTTGTGACAACTGTAGTGTCATCTCGCAGTTTGTCATTTTGTGGATTAATTGCATGCTGCTATTGCTGTCTATGTAACTCTAACAGTAGATTTTTAATGGCAAAGTATATATATCTGCTTGATGGGATTTTTATTTTGGGGATTTTTTTTGAAACACTGTTCTGATCATTAAAAAAACCTCAAACACAAAGCAAAAAAAGACCTTCTAGAGGCAACCATTCAAGATTTGTAAGCAATTGCCAGGTTAATTCTTTTTGCTTGTTTGCATAAGTTATTATTCAGTATTCAAGAGCATCATCATGTACTGCCTCTTCTACCAGATAATTAATTTTGCTTGGTGAATGTGGAAGAAGAGAGTAGTTTGTGGCTTTGCATTCAAAGGAAGACAGCTTTCTTGTGGTAAAGATATTGTTGACAACCCAAAAGATTACTGACAGATCTTTATGTGGTCATCACCAAAACTTCTGTAATGCACATGAACGATGACAGCCAATTTAGAATATCCAACAATTGCCATTGCCAATGGCAACAATGCCATTTACTGACTTGAATGTTTGACTTCTTCTGTTGTTAATGGAATGGAAACTTCTCTACATAATTAGAAATTTTAGCCCTTGACAAATTATTTTTTAAAAACTGTAGTTACTGTAAAGTAAAATGTTACCTTTGATATAGTGTGAATTAAATTATGTGTCACTGTTTTGACCAGTTTCAAACCTGCTTCAGATTTTAATGTTAATCAGCTCTGTCAGTAGAATTGCACTTCTTTACACTACATTTAATTTTGGCCCACTGATTATTAGTTGATATTCTGTGTACAATAATTTTAAATCAGTTTTGTAAATGTTATGCTGTCAGATTATAATAATTTTGAAATTTCTTTCTCTCTTAAAGTAAAATTGCTGTTTTGAGAGCTAGATCTCATAATGTACATAGCCACAATAAAGCAAAATGTAAAATATTACGTTAAAATTAATTTAGAATTCAGTTCCTGTGGATAAATATTGCATACTTCTTCAATGTATGGTCAAAATTCTTGCCATGTCATCACTGAAACAACTGAAATGTGAGGAGGTACATTATTTGGGGGGGAGTTTTTTGTTTTATTTTAAGCCTTGAGCTGATGCTAATTGTTTCATTATCTACTCAATGATTGTAGCTACAGCATCTTCTGCTAATGTCATTGAGCCTCTTAAGGTCTAGGGGGAAGCTGGGAGGGAAGCAAATGACAGAAAGCAGAAGTATTAAAGACCGCTGTGAAATTCATTCTCATGTACACAGTCACTCTGGTGTTTTCCAAACTTTCAGGCACCAAAAGTTTGTGGGTTTGGGTTTGGTTTTTTTATTATTTATATTTATTTTTAATGTTTTAATTAAAACTGTAACATTTTGATCTTGATTATCTTCAGTAAGCCAAGATTTTTTCTTGCTACTTTAAATGGAGTGAGATTTGTGAATTGGATTTAGCTTTTTTTGTTACAGACATACTTGATGGTAATGTTAGTAACACTAGTCAGTTTAAGTAGCGATGACCTTTACTGTTAGTAGTTCTCTGTGGATGGTGTGAAGCCATGGGGAGGTGTAGAACCATTGATCTTGCACTCAGGATGTGAAATTTTGGACAGCTCATTCACTCTCTAGACAAAGTTGAACTGTAGATACAACTAGTCTTAATTAGTATTATTTCTTTATAGAAGTAAACTGTTCTAATTTAAGAGGATGCTGCAAATCCTCTTAGGAAGATAAAGCAATACAAATTTTGGCAGTATCAAAACCTAAGGAATAAGCTTATCGGTAATGGAGCTATCTTATTTTTTAACAAAATTCTTAATTGAGATGTGTCAGCTTTGATTTTGCCAGTTGGTTTCACTACTTAAAGTGTGCTTTGCTCTCTCCTGCATATTTATTACAGTAAAACAATTGCCTTTGTTTTCAATGGTTATAATTTTTTTTTTTTTAGAGTTAAGCTACTTCATTTCAACTTTTCTTTCCGTAGAAAAAAGACATTGCTATTGAGATTTGTTAGCTGATAGTTAATGGCTCTCTAGAACAGTACTCAGAAGAGTTTACCCATATGTTGCTTTTCATCATGCTTCTGAGGGAACTGCTGAAGGCAGAAGATAATTCTGTTCCTTTCCAGTTCTCAGAAGGATAAAACTTTGTTAGGAGAACTGGGGAGAAATTGCTACATGC